TTGTCCTTTTCATATTCGTTTAGTTCTAATTCTATAGTTTTTAATGTATCTTCTAAATCTTGAGTATCTTTTTGAATATGAAATAATTCAAAGAAGTGCAACTTTATTTTGTTATTTAACTAAAACGTAAAAAATATTATTTCATATATCACAAAATTCATTCTTCAATGAAATTATAATGTACGATTAACGAGTAATTTAAAAAAAGTAATTTATTTATGAATATAATAATCGTAAATGACTGAATATAGTAATTTTTATTCATATATGCATGAGCATCCCTATTTTGCAGTCACTTATTCAGATATTTCAAAGTTCGCACATTTTGCTTGCTCAAGGTCACTGGGAAGTAACACCTATTAGGAGAAATATTTGGCGCGGCACAATCAGACCATCGTATAGCTGGTAAAGCTCTGCTATGCTATTAAATTGCCTTAGCTATCCTTTTCTCAAGCGTCTCACTCCGCCTTCGTAACGTAGAGCTATTGACTCAAGTTATTTACAATTAGATATAAACAGCTGTCTAGCTATCACAAACAAGAAGAAAAAATGTATTTCTTTTTCCTTAATACACCCTACGCAACAAATGCTCGATCACGCTTAAGATCTAGAGAGTGGTGGGCAATTTCCTTTTAATTACAGCTCAAAAAATAACTTCGATCGGCTAATATCCGTGAATTTTAGATTTGTACTGTATAAATCAGTCATAACAGTAACTGATATGTATATATGTACATACATGTTGATTGTAAATCTCTGTATATTTATCTGCTTCTTTTTTTTCTGATAAAGCATCTCTTTTCTTTAGAAGAAGATCTTTTTTACTTTTATACAAATATTGAGTTTCATTTTGTGCTTCAAAAATTTCGTTTTTCAACCTATAAATGCAAATAGATGTTTGTAGTAATATTATATTAGTATTTAAAGACATGTATTTCTATCACCTTTCATATGGTTCTTTTAGTTCAATTGAGTTACTAATTTCTTCAAACATATGAGTATATTCTTTTGGTGTTTTCATTACTGTTGAATCAATAGCTCCTTGAAATATTAAAAAATTTTTAGCCTTTATATTAAGATTAAGCTTTCCCAATTCAGACATGTAATACTCTGCTATGACTACCTTATAATGGAATATATACAATATATTATTTTTTTCTCATTATTTGTAATGAATAAGTATAAAAATAGTAATCATAAAGAAAATGATTTTACAGTTAATAATATTAAAAACTAAAAGTTTGTTATACAGTATTGCTTTGAAGGAGTATGATTAAAATTAATTAATTTAATATATTTGTTACAATTATTTGAAAATATGCACATGAGTTGTATGTACTTTTATTTGCCTCAATAGTATAAATGTGTAAATTTTTATAGAATTGAAATTACCTCATCATTAATTTCATATTCACAAGAATTATTATATATACTTCGAGTAAAGGTTTTACTAGTATTGTCTTGAAAAATGAAAACAGCTGTTACATATGCTCTGTATCAT